GACGAAAGAGGGGGAGGCCTTCAACGAGATGGATTGATACGGTGGCTGCGATGATGGGCTCAAGTATAGCAGGGATTGTGGGGCTGGCGCGGGATAGGGCAGTGTTTCGTTCTGCTGTGCATGGGGTCACTATGAGTCGGAAATGACTCGACGGCACTTAACAACAACAACAACAACAATACATTTAATTTGGATCCACAGTCAACACCCATGAAAGCAGTAGTCAAGAAATCAAGTGATGTATTGCATTGAGCAAATTTGTTGCAAAAAAATCTCTTTAAAGTGTTGAGAAGCAAAGATGCAGTTTTGGTAACTAAGGTGCACCTGACCCAAGACATGGGATTTTAATTTCCCTCATATGCATGTGATAGCTGGGTAATGGGTAAGGAAGACCAAAAGAGAACTGATGCCTTTGAATTATGGTATTGATTTCATTTGCATAAACATCAGTGAGCCATCCTAAGCTTCTAAGGCACATTCTGGCTATTCTTCCAAGACAGAATTATTCATGCTTCTTATAATCTATGGGATATTCATTTTTCTTTGCCAGTACCACACACAAAGGCATCAGTTCTTCTTCAGTCTTCCTTATTCATTGTCCAGCTTTTGCATGCATAGGACATGATTGAAAATATTATGGCTTGAGTCAGGTGCACCTTCATCCTCAAAGTGACATCTTTGCTTTTTAATACATTAAAGAGGTCTTTTACACCAATATACCCAATGTACTATGTTGGTTGCTTTTTTTGACTTACTCCTTTCATGGCCATTGATTGTGGATCCAAGTAAAATGAAATCCTTGACAACTTCAGTCATTTCTCCGTTTACTATGATGTTGCTTATTGGCCTAATTGTGAGGATTTTTTTCTTTCTGTTGAGGTTTTTGTTGTTGTTATGTGCCATAGAGTCAGACCTGACTCATAGCGACCTCTCCTTGGGTTTCTGAGGCAGTATCACTACGGAAGTAGATAGCCCCATCTTCGTTCTGAGGAGTGGCTGGTGTGTTTGAACCACCAGCCTTCTGGTTAGCAGTCAAGTGCCTTAGGCACTACACATATTTACGGATCTTTGATCTTCATCAGTAGGTGCATCAAGTCCTCTTCACTTTCAGCAAGCAAGGTTGTGTCATCTACATATGGCAGGTTGTTAATGAGTCTTCCTCCAATCCAGGTGCATCATTCTTCAGATAACACAGGTCCTATCAAAGCAAGAGGATTCATTAGCTAAGCTTTTTTTTCCCCCAATGACTTAGTTTTAGTTCAACAACATTAGATTCTTTTTAATTTTGTTTCCTTTATGTTTTGTTAGATTTAAGTTATATAGAGTATCTTGAAGATTGGCTTTGAGCACTGTTTTCATTGTAATAGCTTTTGTTCTCAATCTCATTTTTCATTTTGACACAGATGTGGAAAAATCACACTTTACTCGAGATCCATCCCAGCTTAAAGGTGTCCTGATTCGTGCATCACTGAAAAAAAGCACAATGGGATTTGGTTTTACCATCATAGGTGGAGATAGGCCTGATGAGTTCCTGCAAGTGAAAAATGTGCTTAAAGATGGTCCTGCAGCTCAGGATGGGAAAATTGCACCAGGTAATTTTTTTTAGAACTATGTTTTTCATAATTACTTGATGAATGATGACTCTATAACGAAAATTGTAATGATGACATTTTGTGTATTTATTTACATTTATCATATTGGAGAGGGGTACTCCTGTATTAAAATAATTTATCCTATAATAGTTTATGGGAGCTCTGGTGGTGTAGTGCCTAAGGCAACTGACTGCTAACCAGAAGGAAGGCAGTTCAAACTCACCAGCCATTCCTCAGAAGGAAGGTTGGGCAATCTACTTCTGTAGAGATATCATCTCGGAAACCTAAGGAGGGGTTGCTATGAGTCGGATCTGACTCGATGGCAATGTGTTTAATAGTTTATATAATTTTGAAATAACTCCTTGACTATACTAAGGTAAGGATTTATTAACATCTCAGAAAACTATTTGGTGGTTTGATCTTTGATTATGTGGTACTTTTGGAGCAATCTAACATTTACCTATAATTTTCATTGAAAAATAACCCATTCGGATATTTAGTGTAATATCAAACAAATTGCTGTATTCAGCAGTTTCTCCCAGGTGTTGTTTATTTATTTATTTATTTATTTTTGAGGTCAGACCGTTTTATTGAGTTTCTGGAAGCGCAACAGGTGAGGACAATGAGGTCCATCAGTTGTGATCCAGCCAGGATCTCCCAGAACTTGCAGCCACCCACCCCTAAGTGTTTTTGCTTCCTTAGTCTTGCTGCCGATTAGTAAAACTGAACTGAAGTTACAAATTCTATAAGAGCCCTGGTGGCACAGTGGCTAAAGCACTCAGATGCTAACAAAAAAGTATGCACTTTGAACCCACCAGCTGCTCAGCAGGAAAAAGATGTGGCAGTCTACTTCCATAAAGATTTATAGCCTTGGGAACCTTATGGGGCAGTTCTAATTCTACTATGTGCTATAGGGTCACTAAACACAAAAAAACAAACTCACTGCCATTGAATCAATTTGACTCATGGTGAGTCCTCATTGGGTTTCTGAGGCGGTATCTCTACTGAAGTAGATTGCCCAGTCTTCCTTCTGAGGAGTGGCTGGTGGGTTTGAATTGCCAGCCTTCTGGTTAGCAGTCAGATGCCTTAGGCACTATGTATGCCACCAGAGCTCCCATAGGATCACTATGAGTAAGAATCAATTTGACCAGCAGTAGGTTTTTTGTTTTGTTTTTCCATCTTGCTGGCTATTAATAAAATTGAACTGCTATGTTAAGAATTACAGAAACACCTATTACTGTTTTTACAGAAGTATATAAACTTAAGTTGTCCTTTATGTACTTTTGCCAAAGTCTTTACTTGGTAATTGTTAGATATTTTAATATGGCTGACAGTGTTTGTGTCCTGGGAGGTTGGAGGAGGTTCAAGACTAGTTACTGATTATAAGGGAGGTTTGTAGTCACTTTTTATTCCAGAAAGTTTTTAGTATTCCATTGAGTTACTTCTCATAATATTCACTAGATTTTTAAAAACCAAACTCACTGCCGTGGAGTTGGATCTGACTCATAGTGACCCCTCCTTGGGTTTCTGAGGTGGTATCACTGCGGAGGTAGGTTGCCCAGCCTTCCTTCTGAGGAGTGGCTGGTGGGTGTGCCTTCTAGTTAGCAGTCAAATGCCTTAGGCAGTATGCCACCAGCACTCCCTAGATTTCCCCAATTTGGATGATTCAGTTGTCCTAGTACTTTTTGATGACAGATAGTAAGTGATTTTCAGTTAGGATATGAGAATCTGTCATGTGTGCCCATCAAGGTGACAGAAACTTAGAACAAGAAAACTTAAAATAATTGAAAATACTAATTTTAAAACAAAGTTATTTTTACCTCTCCTTTATTACTGTATATAATTAACAAACCCTAGAGATTAAAATTAATAGTAAAGTTTTTTAGTTTCTCATCTTTATCTTTTTAAATATTTTGTCTGTGAAACTTATTTCTTAACTGTTCTGTATCCCTTTAGGATTTTATAATATTGATTCAGATTTGTCTAAAACTGTTACAACCTAATTTGCATACCAATACAAAATTTCATAAAAGTTCTGGGAGATTTTTCCAGAGGAGGAAAATCGAACCTTTATTTCTAATTAGTCTAACTTCTGTATCTTTTAAGATCATGAAATAAGTTTCCACAGACTGACATCTGTTTTTAACATTACTTGTGTTGATTTTTTAAAGGCTAAATATAATCAGAACAAATGAAAGTGATTTTATTTAAAAATAACCTTTTAAGTAATCATATTCAAATAAAAACTGGAAATGGATGAGACAACAAAGAACAAATTTCAAAAAGCCATTCAAAAACTACCCAGCTGAATGAATGGCAAGTGGTCATGATTCTTTAAAGTGGTTATAACAACATAAAATCAGGAAAACAAAACTAACCTTTATAAGAATCAATTTAGTTGACTTTTAATTGTCTTAAATACCTTTTTCTTGTGTTAGTTTTTTTTGTTGCTTGTTTCTCCTTATGGAATCTGATTTACAGTACATTCATAATTTCTACAAAATAGTCCTCAGCTTTACATTTCTCAAAAAAGGATGACGTTTTAAGTACATTTTTATCAGTGACTTCTTAAAATCAGGAAATAAAGTAGTATTTAAAGATAGATTGTACAAATAACCACTGGAGTCATTTACTTCTCTTCTACACATTAAATATTGACCACTGCCTGACTTTGTATGACTGCTTAGGTGTGACTCAGGATACTCTAACAGTGATAATGTGAATTTACAAGTTGAGTTTTCTTTTAATAATTTGCTTGAGCTTGAGGTCATAACTCTTTGCTGCTAAAATAACAGAGATTTTAGACATTTTTGTATGCCTGTTAGAAAGGACTCACAAAAGAATGTGCTATGGAAATCTTTTTTTTTTTTCAGCAGTTAATCCACGGATACAGGGTTCTAGAATTTAAATTTGTATGTTAAAATTACTTTTGCCTCCCCAAAGAATTAAATTTGGAAGTAACTTACTCAAGGATTTAAAGTTTTTTGTAATGTGATTATGTTTTACCAGGTGATGTTATTGTCGACATCAATGGCAACTGTGTCCTTGGTCACACCCATGCAGATGTTGTCCAGATGTTTCAGTTAGTACCTGTCAATCAGTATGTAAACCTCACTTTATGTCGTGGTTATCCACTTCCTGATGACAATGAAGATCCCGTTGTGGACATTGTTGCTGCTACCCCTGTCATCAATGGACAGTCATTAACTAAGGGAGAGACTTGCTTAAATACTCAGGATTTTAAGCCTGGAGCAATGGTTCTGGACCAGAATGGAAAATCAGTACACACCCTGACCAGTGATCGTCTCAATGGACAGTCAGATCCAAGTGAGCAGAGAACATCCATGGCATCATCAGGCAGCTCTCAGCCTGAACTAGTGACTATCCCTCTGATTAAGGGCCCTAAGGGCTTTGGGTTTGCAATTGCTGACAGCCCAACTGGTCAGAAGGTGAAAATGATATTGGATAGCCAGTGGTGTCAAGGCCTTCAGAAAGGGGATATAATTAAGGAGATTTACCATCAAAATGTACAGAACTTAACACATCTTCAAGTGGTAGAAGTGCTAAAGCAGTTTCCAGTGGGTGCAGATGTACCTTTGCTTATCTTAAGAGGAGGTGAGTAAAAATACAAGCAAGAGTGTTCATGCATTTATATCTGTTAATTATCCTACTTACAGGTCAGAATGTCTCTTTTCCCAACAGACTTAACTGGTAATTAGTGTGCATTTTCCTTAGAGTTTTGTTTGATCACGTCCATAAGCAGTGTCTTTAAGCAGTGTCTTTTTCTGCAGTGTTTTTTTGTTTTGTTTTACTTTTTAGTTATTAGTGCTTTCATTTGTATTCATTGTGGATGTTTTCCCCTCTGTATTCTCTTAAAAATCTGATATATAATTTTGATGATCAGGGGGATTCACAACATGTGCTATTTCAAATGAAATATATCCTCTTAATTTTCTGTTGATGACAATAATAGAATTGACTCTCAAATTGCAGTGCTATTCATCAGGACCCCTGTACTCCATCCATGGTGTTTTCAAGGAGCATGGATCTCTATGGATAAGTGAAATGTTGGATGATGTGTTCATCTGTTCCACAGACGCAATCATGATAGCTTGTGCTTATAAAGCTTTTATCTTAAACTCTAGTATCTACTCATAAATGTTAATTAAGCCCACAGTGCTCATGTAAGAGAAATATAATTCTTATTTTCCAAGCTCATCAGCTGACTTGAACTGCTCCCAGGTATTATAAATCTAGTTCCAAGGACTAATCACAAAATTTCATTTTAATAGACTTTTTAAATTCATACCTACAAGTGAGTGGTGTTCAGAAAAATACAAGTTAGCCCTTCACTCTTTTACTTCTTTGGCTTTTATTTTTCATTTTTCAGGCAAATGAGGGACTCAATTCATTGGGGAGTTTTTCCTTCTCATTACTTTGAACCATTTTAGTTCTTCTCTGGGTGATGTGGTAGAATGTGCTCAAAATATGGTGAAAATCACTTTGTGTGTGCTATGGAGTTATCTAGGGCTCTGGCAAATATAACAAAGAGGCCAGGGTTTGGTGTCAGGCAGCCTTAACAGCAGTTTCCTCTCTTGCCACGTATTGATTCTCTGGTGCAAGGAAGTAAAGTTAATCTATTTGAGCCTTAGCTTACTTTATCTATAAAATGGTGATAACATTCATGCCTTAGGATTTTCATAAAAATTAAAGGAGGTAATATATGTATAAGGCCTAGCAATAGGAAGTGTTGGACATAGAATTTACTAGTCTATTAAAAGCTAAAGCTAGTTTTATCATAAACATAAGTGGTATATGTGATCTAGGAATATTTTCTGTTTCTAAAACTTGACTCATTTTTTTAAAGGTCCTCCTTCACCAACTAAAACTACCAAAATGGTGAGTATGCAGTTGTCCCCAAATGCTTCTTCCCAGTACACCAAGAGAGATGTCGTATTCCCCTGTGTTAGAGCAATCATCACAGTGGTGATTATCCACCGGGAGAAGTCAGGAGGCTTGCTACTCTGGGCTCTTTTATCAGAAGCACTAAGAGAGTGTGTGTTAGAAAAATCCCTAGTTAGGAGGTGTGCTCCCCTAGTTAAGTATTTCTACCAGAGAAATGCTAGAGGTCCATACTAGCAATAATCCTATCCCCTAAGTAGTAAAATGTAGAGCCTACTAAGGGGTCCTTTTACTTTCTTGTGCTTCAGAGTTGCAAAGGCAATAGTTAGAGGAGTGCCCCTCCAGAAATCCCTTGTAACGTGAGGGCCAATGATGAAGTGAACTATTATATCTTTTTGCTGCTGCCCAGAGAGAAGATGGGATAGCTTCACACAATTTCATGGGAACTGTAACAACTCCCGTTCAATTAGCCTGCTTACCTTTAGAACTCAATAAGACTTTCTAGAGTAATTGTGACCTTCTGTATTCATTTTGGGAGCACTGTGGCATAGTGCCTAAGGCATTTGACTGCTAACCAGAAGGCTGGTGGTTCAAATCCACCAGCCACTCCTTGGAAGGAAGATTGGGCAATCTACTTCCATAGTGATACCACCTCAGAAACCCAAGGAGGGGTCGCTATACAACAGTGAATTTGGCTGGTTTTGGTTGGTATTCACTTTACTTGTTATTAGGGTAGTAAGCTATCAAACCTGAGACAGTACCTTCTTTGGCATTCTTCTGAATGTTAGGAGCCCTAACAGTGCAGTGGTTAAATGTCAGCTGTGAACCAAAAAGTGGGTGGTTTGAACCCAGCAGCTCCTTGGTGGGAGAATCTGGCAATCGGTTCTTGTAAAGATTACAGCCCAGGAAATTCTATGGGGCAGTTCTGCTCTGTCCTATAGGGTCACTATAAGCCAGAATCTACTCAACGACACACAGCGATAACAATTAGAACTAAAAGAGGGGAGTGCCAGATAAAGCTGTTGTGAAAGAAACTACTAGGCTCACATGTGTGGCTGTTTAAATATCCACACTTATATGGAGGTAGACTTTAAAGATAGTTGTATGTGAAATTCTAATTTAGTGCTAGTTGCCTTGCTTTGGAGTCTTTTATCTCTTAATTCAAAAGTGGTCTCCCATACCCATAAACCATAGGTTATTAAAGGAAAAGGCCATTAGATATTAAATGAATTAATTCTTTTTAGCCCACCAAGTGGGTATACTCTACAAAAGTGCAGCTTTACAGATCAAAGGGAAAGAACCCAACATTTGGCTTCTTCCCTTTTACAAAACTTTGTACCACATATGTCCAGTATATGAATAAAAATTATTTTGCCCCATCAGCTACAATTGCACTATATTTTCTACATTTTTCTAATTCCCTAACAATCATTTTTTAACTCCTCTGTATGTATTACATTGTAGATGCCAGTGTAGCCTTGGTGAGCCTGATCCTTTATAATTGATGGGAGTCTCTGATGACCACTGACTCTTTTTGGCAGGATACTAGGACATATGGCAGAATGGGGAGGAGGCTGTTCTTACCTTTATTGCCACCTAACTGCATTGGTCTGGAGCAGGGAAGGAACCACCCTGGTCCACTGTCTTGTAGTGACTGACCCTTCACTGTCCCCTGACAAGCCGCTGCTTCTGCATTCTTAGCCAGCTTTAATTATTTTATCACAAACATCTATAATCTCCCTCTCCTAGTTCAGGATAACAAGCTATTCTCAAAAAATACTTTGATAGGAAAAAAGGAGAGGCCATGTTACCATATTTTATTTTCTTAGAGTTAGTTATTGGATTTCATTTTTAGAATTTTATTAAATAAGTCATTTTATTTGGTTGTTATTTAGGGAAAGTTCTATCTGGATAGGAAAAATAACAAACTATGCTACTCTGTTTTTCCTTATCTGATTGCTTGGCGTGGTCCCTTTTCTCTTAATATATTTGAATTGGCCAAGCAGGGTTTTTATGGTGTCATCTTACAACTTAAATTAGAGTTAGCACTTTATATTTTCTTAGAAAAAATAGTCCTTTATACATCTTCATTGGAAATTAAATTCAATGAGTGGGGAGGTAGGGACTTACCAAGAATTTTCTGAAGGTATTCTCTCCTCTTAAAGTTTCACTTTACATAGAAGTGGTGCTACCTTGTTTTAAATCCCTCCTTAACTTGTCAAAGTCAGTTTGTGTCTTGGTGGTGGAGGAAAGGGTAAGATTGTATAAATACAGGTCTAATTAGGACACCTTCAGTCAACATCATTATAAAATTTTTTCTAGTTTAAGTCAAATATGTTTTAACCAACGACACACAGCTATGAACGTGGATTCTTATAAGACTGCACTTGGCTCTGACCGTGCCCCCTATACAACTGTAATCAGTTGATAGATCTGGTTCAGACAACAGTTTTATGAACTAATGACATATCTGATTTTTTTTAAATACTAAGTAAGGCCCTTTTCCATTTCAGAAAACAGATAAAAAGGAAAATTCAGGAAGTTTGGAGGCTATAAATGAGCCCATTCCCCAGCCTATGCCTTTTCCACCCAGCATTATCAGGTCAGGATCCCCGAAATTGGATCCTTCTGAGGTCTACCTGAAATCTAAGACTTTATATGAAGATAAACGTAAGTAGTTGTGGAATATTTCAGGAGAGCATGTAACAAGATAAATTTGGATTACTTTTTAAACTGGGACCTTCCCATCTTTCAAAACATATTGAAAAGTGATTGCTTCATTCCCATTTCAATATAACTCTGGGCTGCTTCTATTTACATTCAACATTCATTCATTTAATTTTTTAAAATACAGGTATTAAGTTCCAACTATCTACCAGATACCATATTAGGTAATTGGAATATTCATAAAAGGATAGGATATATAGGCCTGTACCCAAAAAGATTTATTAAATCTACATAGAAAAGACCAATAAGTAATCAAATAAGTATACAAATAAATGTAATTCATTTAACTCTGGTGGCACAGTGCCTAAGGCATTTGACTACTAACCAGAAGGCTGGCTGTTCAAACCCACCAGCCACTCCATGGAAGGAAAACTGGACAATCTACTTCCTTAAAGGTTTACCACCTCGGAAGCCCAATGGGGGTCGCGATGAGTCAGAATCGACTTGATAGCTGTGGGTTTTTGGGGATTTTCTTTGAGAGAAGGATAAACTGGATAAATTGGGATCCAAAGAAGGAAATGTGGGTACTAGGAAGTGTCAGGTAAAGCTTCACACCAGAAGTTAAAGAGGTATTCTTGAGGAATCCAGCAGGGAAAGAGAGAAGCAATAGCATCTGCGTGTTGCTTGGCCTGGGTTCTACAAGCAGTTCAGCTTGGCTGGGTATGATTGGCAAGGAAGCCAGAGAAGAAAGCAGGAACAGATTGTGAAGGGGTGATTATGGCAGTCTGAGGAAGCTGGAGTCAGTCAGATAAATGATGGTGAGCCACTGCATGGTTTTACCTATAGGGAAAATATTACTGGACTTGTGCTTTAGGCCTGTGGAGGATAAATCATAGAGGCGCACCACTGGAGGCAAGGAGATGATGAGAAGAGAGCATGTAAGGCAGAAGTTCATTTTCATTGCAATTTATTTACTAGTGATAAATCTCCACAGATTTAAATAAGTTTTATGTATTTGTTTGTTTTTAAGAAATAGATCTAAATCTACCTTGGAAAAGATGTATACAGATGGAAATACTTGACTTCATGCTCATTTAATCAATCGCAGATCTTTTATCTTGATGTTCCCAGACCATAATTAGAAAAACAAAAACTGAATATAGCCATAACAAAGTAGTGATTTAAATTAGTATAACCTGTGGAGAATCTCTTTCTTCAGACATCCCAGGCATAGCCTGACACATCCTAGTATGAACTGTGCAGTCCCTTTGAGCCTCATCCTTAAAATAAGTGACTTGGACTCCTGGGGCCTTTCATCTCTAAAGTTGTATAACTCTAATTAGAAGCATTTATCAAAAGAAATTGCCTCTAAAGAACATTATCAGGAATTTACCTTTTGTGTAGTTTACAATATTTTTTTCTATTTCTAGTGAAATATCTTTTACTTGTAAATAACATTAATATTTTTCCAGAGATGAAATTTTTGTTATGAGGTAGATTTTCTGACTTAATATTCTCAGGAATGCAACCTGCCTTTTAAGAGCAAGATCGTGTAGGTTAAGAGCTTGCTGTGTGTAAATCTCAGCTCCACCACTAACTTACTGTGTGCCATTGGGCAAGTTACTTAATTATGCCCTCAGTTTCTTGGCTACAAAAAGGGGCTAATAATAGGTATTAGGTATTATTTGTTTCCCTTTAAAAAATAACATCACCTTGTAAAATTAGGCCAAGTAAGCATTGCATAGGGGATGTTTTCCTGAGGCCAAGGTATTAGTTTAGGAGTATGAAAAAAAAGTACTTCATATCCTCTCTTTTCCTTAGGATTTCTAGTGTCTTGCTCAAATGTTAGCTTAGATCATTTGTGTCTATCAAATCTCAAACAAACTAAATAATTCTGAAGCTTATGTTGACTTGAAAGCATTAGAAGTTAATGGCGGCATGGTACTGAGTGCATGGAAGTAGAAACATTCCTAAGCAATCGTAATAGAAAGTTTTGTTTAGAGCTCAAAACAAGGATCAGTGGTTGATTTTTTTTTTTTTTTTTGGTGGTGGTTTTCTCTGCTATAAACTTTCACATAGCAAAGGTTCTGAGATTATAGTTTATTGAACTAATCTATAATATCCTACTGAATATTGAACTTTTGTCTTGTTTTAATCTACTTCAAGTAAACTTAAGTGTCTACTTTTTATTTTCTGATTTTATTTAGCACCAAACACCAAAGATTTGGATGTTTTTCTTCGAAAACAGGAATCAGGATTTGGCTTCAGGGTTCTAGGAGGAGATGGACCTGACCAATCTGTGAGTTTAAATACTTTGGAATTTGGTTATTCCTTTTAAAGTTTTTGAGTGGCTGTTTGGTGGGATATGGTGGTTATTTTGTTTTGTTTTGTGAAGATTATCTTTGTCTCTAACAATTTCTTCAATATTAGGAAAAACTATTTCTATTAGTATCATAGTCCTCAGTTAACTTGGTATAGCTGAGATTAAAAACTGTAAGAAAAAAATGACTGTGTTAGCTTGGAAATGCAGTGAATGTCAGTATTCTTTTTTTAAAATGACAGTCCTCTTTCTATTTCTGAATAGCACATTTAATTTGTGTAGTATAGGTGAGGTGTAATTAGTCATATTAACTATATTTACAACAATCATCCAAGACAAATAAAGCTTAAGGCACATTGCCCGGTATAGGGCAACCATAAGATATTTTGATTATGCTTAGTGGTTTATCTAATTTTTATTGTTTCTTATTGTGCTGATATTCACAGTGTTCACTTAGACATTTTAACAATTTATCTCAAACAACTTGGGGAGAAACCTTTTTTTTTTTTTCTCTTAAATGTCAAGCTTTAGCAGCCCTAAAAGTTACCCAAACATTCTGAGTTTTCTAATCATACCGTTCTAATTGGTGGTGATCAGAATTACTAGATCTCTTTACCATAGGTACAAGGGAACTTCAGGCCACTCTGTCCTTTAAAATATATACTGCTTGACAATGTAGGAACAAGAATGGTTTCTCTGTTATGTATACTGAGCTTGTACTGCTGGCCATATGTGATGGAAGTATCATAAGAATTATCCCAGTTGCTATGAACAGTGTGTAGGCAGTCTTTCCTGATGGCATTGAACAGACTTTTTTCACTCTTGGTGTCAACTTTAAAAAATTACATTTTTTGAGTTTAATATTTTTGTTTGGTGGTGGTGATGGTGGGACTTTTTAAATTTCTGAACAACTCTGCATTTTCTGTCTTCTTTGTACTCAGCTTTGAGAGTCCACAAGGGATGACATAGCATACTGGTTATTCAAGGTGCTGTTAGGGAGAATGGTCCCTTTCTAAGATCCCGTCTTTGTAAAATATGACTGTTTTCATAGTGGAACTGCAGTGATCTGCTGGTGTGCACAGTGCTCAGAGTCAGAGTCCTTAACTCTTAGTTGATCTTAATGGACTTTGTAGACCAACCTACACTGTGTTATCTTATTAGATATATATTGGGGCCATCATTCCTCTGGGTGCAGCTGAGAAAGATGGTCGTCTCCGTGCTGCTGATGAACTGATGTGTATTGATGGAATTCCTGTTAAAGGGAAGTCACACAAACAAGTCTTGGACCTAATGACGACTGCTGCTCGAAATGGCCACGTGTTACTAACTGTCAGAAGAAAGATCTTCTATGGTGGTATGATTGAGGCATTTTAGATAATTCATTCTAACCATGCATCTGAGGAGTCACTTTTCCTTAATAATTGGATGTTGGTGGCATTTTTTTGAGATTATGAGCCAAAAGAGACCATATAAACGCACACTCATTGACTACGGTGTGTTTTGGTTGTTGTTAATAATTGCACCAAATTAAAGGACAAATTGATTGGTTTTGTTTTTTGTCTTTTGTTTTTTTTTTCCCCAAATTGCAATTAACTTGTAGTAGTTTTTTTCAGGGAGCTCTGGTAGCATAGTGGCTAAGGCACTTGACTGCTAACCAGAAGGCTGGCGGTTCAAACCCACCAACCACTCCTCGGAAGGAAGGTTGGGCAATCCT